GTGTGTGTGTGTGTGTGTGTATATACTGTATGTGTAGATAGATAGATAGATAGATAGATAGATAGATAATAACACTCATAATTACCAGACAAACACCACTAAATGTCCATAAACTGTTTATTGCAATTGGCTAATAACTGTCAACAGTAAAAGGTGGTTTGTTACTGAAAAAAAAAAAACAATAAATGTTGCCTTCAAATATTTTTCATTTTCAGTGCAATTTTTACAGCCAAATCGTGATAGTTTATGTTGCAGCCGTGAAACGATGATGGAAAATAAGCATCCACGTGTGAGATGAGGCACAGTATATACCGTCATCCCTCAGCTCTCCACTCTGTCATGTTTATAAATTGGCAGCAGGTTTTAATTCACTAGCCCTTTGTTCCAGAAAACAGCGTGCCTCTTGCACTTTACATGGAGCCCATGTCTCAATCTAATTGGAATTGTACTCTTCCTTCCCATGTATGGAAAAAAAAAGCCATTCCTGATTGTCTGAGGAATGTGGTGTCGCTCCATGCCATAGGGGACTCCATTTATAGTATTTATACACTTCTGGTTTGCATTAGCTTTGAATTTATCCCAAATTAAACGTATTGTAATATGTGGTGATTGTATATGCATCCAGACAAAGACAAAGCAGATTGGTGCTCGTTGCTGGTTTGAAATAAATTGGAGGGGAACTGACATCATTCTTCCCAAACAGACTTCTGGTATCTTTCACAAAATGACCTAATTTCCATAGTCTGAGGAAAATATGCTAGTTGACTGAAAATCTTTATCTTGGAGGTTGAGTTTGGTTGTCTCTGGTCATTCTGATTGGTAAATTGTGACTTCTGTGAAATATATGTATACATATTTTTCAGTACAATGAAAATTAAAGTATAATTGATTGTTGTCCCTGACAGCCAATCCTCTACATTAGCACAGTGTTAGAGACAACAGTCTCTACATGTTACTACCATGGTACCATATGCAAAAAACACGGTATTAAGTTAATACCACAATATTCTTAAGTATTAGCTACCATAGTTTTGAAATATTTTATATTCATAGAATCCCCTGATATTATTAAAGCTTTTGTACAAATAAACATGGTTTTATCATGTTACATGTACAAAAACATGGTAGAACAATGAAACCCTGCCCAAACTACATGGTATCTTGTGGAAATCTACCAAGAAATGTACCATGGTCCTCTTGAATGATTACCATATTCATTTTCCATTATTTAGTAAAGATACAATGGTTGTATTATCATGTGTACTTTGTGACTCTCTTGAAACGGAACTGTTTTATGCTTGGAATTATATTTATTCAGTATGCAAACTCAATATTTCTCTGCTATTAATAGCTCTTGTTATATGTGCACTTTGTAAGTGTCCAGATGGTGTGGCAAAGCTCTGTTACTGAAGGGCAGCAAGGCTAAGACAATCGCAAACACATGAACATAGATATACTGTACATTCACTAACAGACATACAGTATTAACAGTGAGAGGCTGTGATGTGTGAACCTGAACAAGTGTCATGTTTATGTAAAAATTATGCTACTGTTTTCAGAAACTCACTGTAAACTGAAAATGAAAATTGGCACAAAAACATATATAGGCTCTGGTAAAACAAAAATTGTGAACATCATATTTTCTCTTTAACTAGGCAAATTATCACATTCTAGAGTCAATGAAATCAGCATCATCCCTGTTTACTTTCCTGCATGTTCCTGCTCTTACTGTGATTGAACAAAAACATAGGCTCTGGTAAAACAAAAATTGTGAACATCATATTTTCTCTTTAACTAGGCAAATTATCACATTCTAGAGTCAATGAAATCAGCATCATCCCTGTTTACTTTCCTGCATGTTCCTGCTCTTACTGTGATTGATTAATCTGTGTAAGTTATTCGAAAGAGACAAAACGTTTGTAAAGTTGAATCAAAATATTATAACTTGAGTTTCAGCTGTCACAGTCTATTGGATAATATTGTCAAGTGCTAAATACAGTAGCTAAATGGTCGTTGTTTAAGTAAACTTGCACTCATATGAAGTGCTCATTTTTCACTATCCAATAAATTCCAGATATATAGTATATTGCTGCTGAAAAGTTTGGTGTCAGTAAGTATTTTTATTAAAAAAAATTTCAGCAAGGACACAATAAATTGATTAAAAGTGGCATTAAATACATTTATAATGCCACAAAATATTTCTATTCTATACATCAAAGACAAAAAAAAAAAGCATCACGGTTTCCACAAAAATATTAAGCAGCACAACTGTTTCAACACTGATAATAAGAAATATTTCTGGAGCAGTAAATCAGCTTGTAAATTTAGCTTTGCCATTTTACAATAGTGTAGCGTCTGGACCAATCAAACACACAATATATATTTTGTTAGCTAGATTTAACAAATACTCTGTAACACCCCTCAGTTAACAAGCCATATGAGGACCTATGGACCCTTCCCCCCGAAATGCGTAACACCCCAGGAAGCCGAACAGGTTTCAGTGCCACATGATCCATCAGAAATCATTCAAATATGCTAATTTGGCGTTTTAAAATGGAAACGATGCTCGTCTACACTGGCGTTTTCACTACGTTTCAGAAACGATCTCCGTCTACACTACACAACCGAAATCGCATGTCACATGACCATTCATGCAGGTACAACCATAGATATGTATAGGTAGATTCCCTATTATTTAGATGGCGGACCCTACGTGCTTGGAGCGGTCGAATGGGGATCTACCTATACATATCTATGGGTACAACAATGATCATGCTGTTATTGTTTACACGGTCGTCAAGGATACGCAGAGAGAATGTGGGCAAAAGTCTCCGTTTCGGTCCGTTTACACTGAAACGCAACCCTGGAGTTTTCAAACTAAAACGGGGTCTGCAGCGTTTTCGACCTCGAAAACGCCAGGGTAGTGTAAACGACAGGCGTAACCATAGCAAAAGTTATGCGTTTTAAACGAAAATGCACTAGTCTAAACAGGGCCTAAGATTCTTTGATGAATAGAAAGTTTATTAAGTCTTTTTTGTCTTAAAAAAATAGCATAATAATATCTCAGTAACACTTTAGTATAGGGACCAATTCTTATTATTATTAACTAGTTGCTTATTAATAGGGCTGTGCAAATAATCAAATGCGATTTTCATGCGCATCTCGTCAGTAAAGCACAGTAAAGCAGTAAAGCAGTAAACGCGATATTGCATAGCTTGTCAGTGCCTATTATTAACATATTGGCTGTTTGTCCAGAAGAGATCAGATGTGCTAAAACATTAGTCACATTTAAATGCAGACTCAAAACTCATCTGTTTAGCTGTGTGTTTATTGAATGAGCACTGTGCAATGTCCGAACTGATTGCAGTATATTTTATGTATAATCATTTTCTATTCTTAACTGTTTTAAATTCATTTTAAACCTCTTAAATAAATTTTTTAATCATTTTCTAAGTTTTTAAATTCCTTGTTTTATTGTAGTCATTATTTTTTTATTATTATTGTATTTTCTTGTATGTAAAGCACTTTGAATTACCATTGTGTATGAAATGTGATATATAAATAAACTTGCCTTGCCTTGCCTTGTTTATTAGTACATATAAAGCACCAGCACCATATGACCATATTCTAGACCCCTAATCCTACCAAATACCTAAACTTAACAACTACCTTACTAACTATTAATAAGCAGCAAATTAGGAGTTTATTGAGGCAAAAGTCATAGTTAATGGTTTGTTAATAGCGATAATTGACCCTTAAAATAAAGTGTGACCAATATCTCAGTTAACAGTTAGATGTGACAAGTTTGTTCAAATCCACACCTCTAAATATGAGCAATAATAGCATGCTTTCCTTAGCAAGCTCAACTACAAATTGGTACATGAGGTAAGACTTATTTAAGCATCTTTTGCTATTTCACCCATAAAGATTGAAACAAGAACGGATGTATTTGGCAACCCTGACATGATGCGCACTAGAACTCTGGACTGTAAAGCATAACCATGCCATAATGTGTCAGTAATCTGACATTACCAGAAAACGTGTATGCTCTTGAGTGAGTCAGAATATGATCTCCTGCAGTTAGTTCGGGCCTCAGGGCATGAGTGGATCTTCACCAGAATAAAAATAAGGCTTCATGGATGGTTGAGTTGAAGAAAGTTTATTACCATTTCTTTTATGTAAAGCACTTTGAATTACCATTGTGTATGAAATGTGATATATAAATAAACTTGCCTTGCCTTGCCTTGTTTATTAGTACATATAAAGCACATATTCTGCATGACCATATTCTAGACCCCTAATCCTACCAAATACCTAAACTTAACAACTACCTTACTAACTATTAATAAGCAGCAAATTAGGAGTTTATTGAGGCAAAAGTCATAGTTAATGGTTTGTTAATAGCGATAATTGACCCTTAAAATAAAGTGTGACCAATATCTCAGTTAACAGTTAGATGTGACAAGTTTGTTCAAATCCACACCTCTAAATATGAGCAATAATAGCATGCTTTCCTTAGCAAGCTCAACTACAAATTGGTACATGAGGTAAGACTTATTTAAGCATCTTTTGCTATTTCACCCATAAAGATTGAAACAAGAACGGATGTATTTGGCAACCCTGACATGATGCGCACTAGAACTCTGGACTGTAAAGCATAACCATGCCATAATGTGTCAGTAATCTGACATTACCAGAAAACGTGTATGCTCTTGAGTGAGTCAGAATATGATCTCCTGCAGTTAGTTCGGGCCTCAGGGCATGAGTGGATCTTCACCAGAATAAAAATAAGGCTTCATGGATGGTTGAGTTGAAGAAAGTTTATTACCATGCAGAAGTGTCCTGGCTTGACATCGAAGTCACCATAGACCTCACTGCAGAGCATCTAAAGTCAAATAGTGTCTAATGGAGCGGTGTAATGCAAAGAGGCAGCTCTAACAGCACATCCCTTTCTCAACACACTTCACAGTCGGCTTCTATTACATACAAAGCCAGTCTGATTACATCTGTTGTTAATCTGTGAGATCAGACCTGGCTTTGATGACACAGCTCTGTCTGAGGGGAAATTAAAATGGCACAGATATGAATAGTTGTGCTCTTTGGTCGGATATTTGCAGGTGTCTTGCGAGAGGTGAGGAAGGATATTTTACCTGGTGAGCGTCTTCCCACTTCTCAAGGTTTTCAATGTCCAACATTAAGCTGACAATCTGGAAGAATTTCTGAAAAAGAAAAAATAAAAAAAAAACAGTTTAAAATAAAGAAAAAAGATGGAATTGTGAACTTTTTTTAATTTCCAAAGTTCTGACCAGATACTGAAAGCAATGATTCACATACTTTTGCCACTCACAGATATGTAATATTGTATCATTTTCCTGAATAAATAAATGTCAAAGAACATATTTTTGTCTCCCTTGTCTGTTAGGGTTCTCTTTGTCTACTTTCAGGACTTGTGTGAAATTTTGATTATGTTTTGTGTCATATTTATGCAGAAATATAGAAAATTCTAAAGGGTTCACAAACTTTCAAGCGGCACTGTATGTAATTATGAAATTGGCATGTCAAGCACTGATCTAAAGCTGTGTAATATACATACCATTGTATAGCCTCGGATTATGCCTGCATTGTGTATATGTACTTTTTCTATTTATGTCAGATACAGAAAAGCTCTTAAAAATCTGTACAAACAGTGGAAAACATTAAAAGAAATATTGCCCGGTCACAGTTTTTGTCATCTACCCATTTATTACTTGTACCTTTACACACACCCACAGGCAAACACACACCTGCACGTCGTCAGGAGCTGGGATGTAGGTTGCTCGTTTGAAGGTGTCCGTCACATTTCGGAGAATCTCCACGGAGAATAAGAGGTCGCCGCTATAATAATTCTTACGGGACATTAACTCCAGGAGACTCCTCACGATCTGAGACATGCCCTCCCCTGCCAGGGTCCTCTGACCCTTCGCAAGATGTTCACGCAACTACAGGAGTAGAAAAAAAAAAACATTATTTTATGCACAGACACTGATAAATAAACCTCAGTAATAACCACAGAAGCATGAAGTTGCACCCTGGGTTTAAAAATAAAACCAGAGAGATACCAAATTAAATCAGCAGACCTGGAATTTTTATGCATTTTCTCCAACGATTTTAAAGGAAAAATCTGTGGAAATTTGTTCATTTAAAAATGGTAATATATGCTAAATTATTTGTAGCTGAAAGAATAATTAATAAGTTAAAATATATGAACAAGCATGTGAAGAAAAGTGCACCCGTACAGGCCTAAACCACAAACGCACCAATATATTTGCATTTCATTCATTTAAAACAAACGTAATAAATAAACTAACTTAAAAAGAGAATAAATAAGCACCTTGAAATGTAGATGCAGATTTAAAGGTAAACCAGAGTGCAGAAGAACACGCTGGCTTTGAAGCTGAAACAACATTGATTCGGGTCTGAAGCAAAGCGGAAGCAGTTAGCAGGTATCGACAGACGCCATCTACTTCCCATCTATAGTCACATCTACTTCATCTACTTCCCATCTATAGTCGACCAAGCTGTGAGCATAACAAAGTGAAAACAACTTCTCCCTTAGTGAATCAACTAGCAGAGTTCTTGTTTGCGGACAAACGTCAGCAGACGAAGTGTTGACTGTCTAATGACAGAACTGTGAGTGCAGGAGGTGGCAGACAATGGCAATCAAAGCTAATTAAGCATTGTCTGAATACAATGAAGGGTTAGCGGACAGGTTAACAGCACAATCAACCCCGTCACATCAAGCCTCGGTCGAGACCGAATTAAAACCCACTTGGCATTATGAACTCAAAGTCAAAGGTCGTGGCTGAGGAATTAGAAAGAGCGCATGAAGGCAGGCTGTTGAATCTGTTTGGAAGTAATCAATCATTATCAAAACACAACAAGCGATAGAAAGTACATAATCAATATGAAAGCTGTGAGATTTGTGTAAAAGTAAGCTTTTAAGCATTTACGGTAGGGATTATTTCAAATGAAGCTTCTCCAAGTAGTGGTTTTCATTTTCTTTGTGTGTGTTATAATGAGTGGGGATACGACAGTGGAATTGACTCTTTTTAGTGTTTTGCTGAGTGGTCTTTGCCGTTATTATCATTTGTGGAAAGTGACAGCAGCAATGTTCTCTCCAGCACACACGGCCCTTTAAATACACTCCAATCTATCACTTTTCTGTGGCTTGTTATCCGCTCTAGTGAAACCACCAAACAAAATGCAAACAAATGCGTCCTCGCTTCTGATATGCATTCACTGATGTACAGCTACAAATCTGGAGTATTAAACTTTTATTACTTAATATTCAGCTGCTCATCCATGCTATCTACTGAGCTACAAAATTCAGGGTCGGACAGTAGCAGATGGAAGTTATCAAATAAAATGTCAGTTGAGCAACTGAATTTGTCCCTGTATGATTACTCCCTTAAATCACTGTGTAAACTGCATTCACCCATCCTTTTGTCTTGTTTTCCAATAAAAAATGTCCATGCATCCTTGAAAAAAAAAAAAAATAAATAAAACAGAAACTACAATAAACACTAAACTAAATGTACTTTGAAGTAAAATTGCATGAAATATTAAGACCTGTTTTCAAGGTGATACATCTTAAATTTTGTAACTACACATTAGTTTAATTTATTTAGCAATATAATAATGATAATAATAATAATAATAATAATAATAATAATAATAGCACTGTTAGTACTATTAATAAAATATGTATGCAATTAAATTAAGAATAATAACTGTATTATTATTATTAGTTTAATTATTATTGTTAGTATTATTATTAATACAATTTATTTAATAATAATAACAACAAACTTGTATTATTATTTGTATTATATTAACATTTAGTTTTTTTATTATTATTATTATTATTATTATTATTACAAGTAGTAGTACCATTGTTAGTATTATAGTATAGTATATAGTATTAACAGTGTATTTTAATAAACAGTGTAATGAACAGTGCATTTTAATTAATTTAACAACAATTAACAACAAAACATCATTATTGATGTACATATTATTATTACTATTATTATTATTATTGCTATTTGAGAATGAAGCTTAAAACACAACTCGATAAAAAAAATTATATATTATAATAATTCAAAATGATCTCTGAAAACAAGTAGTATTATCTTATAATATGTATGTAAAGATGGAATACTCTAATACAGAGCCAATTTCTAAATAAATCACACAAACTATTTATCAAAACAGTAAAAGATTGCTAAATAATGTGCATACACAAATTAATATTCATAATCTAATTTCCCCCCATTTTGTGACCTCATAGCACGTCATCCACATCCATGTACTCACAGATAAATGTAAATATCTATATTCGAGTGAGACACATCGGGCGAAGCTCGGAGGACCCCAGTAAGCAACTCCATTAGCGTCCAGCAAACAACGACGACTAGCAGATCCTACAGGGAAAGGGAAGAAAAAACTGATCATTATCACCATTGGGCACAAGCAATAACAACATGTCAAGGTTTGACAGACACGTACTGTGATGTTCACACGCTTCATATAAAATACTTCACTGGGATGCGGCATACGATAACGTCTGGGATAATGTCTGTTCTGAGTATTGTTTTGAGTCATTTTACACTGCTGTAATCTCAGTTTTGCTTAAAAATTTCTGCCACTTGCATCATTCAGATCAAGGCCAATTAGACTCGACCGTGGCCTCACCCCCGGTACCCTCGCTGGGATAAAAATGGGCCTGAAAATCACACAGGGAACGCAGGCAGACGTGGAAAAGTCAAGCGAATCATTCTCTGCAGGAATTGTTTTTTCTTTTGGGGGTTAGCGTGCATGACAGTCCGTGCTGGCCGGGATGTGGAGTTATGGATGATATAGATTACAACTCGCCGTTGACCTCACTGAACACTGCTCTGCGCTCCCACTTCAAAGACATCATTTATTAGGTCTTTCTGTTTTTATTAGGTAAAAATCACTGAGCGCCTTGGGTGTCTTTCTTCACTAGTATCTGAGAATTATTGCACGCTGTACTCAGAGGGCATAAATAACCCCAAAACACTCTCCCACTGTGCTGGGAAGGGTTAGAAACTCTTGAGCCAATTTGAAGCGTGCAGAACACCCAGTATATAACATTCACAAAACATGAATGTCATCACGTACAAAACGACAACGTCAGTGTGTGACATTAAATCTATAGCCTAGAAAAGAAAGAAATGTGTTTTTTGTTGGGTCCAATGCAAGCTCTGCGGCAACGTCTGACATTTCAATACGTCAAAATCTTGAAAAAGACTTGATATCATTGTTATATTAACTTTCGGTGGTGGCACATATTGGGCTAAATAACCCCAAAACACTCTCCCACTGTGCTGGGAAGGGTTAGAAACTCTTGAGCCAATTTGAAGCGTGCAGAACACCCAGTATATAACATTCACAAAACATGAATGTCATCATGTACAAAACGACAACGTCAGTGTGTGACATTAAATCTATACTAATTCACTACCACTAATTCATCTCAATCGGCTTAAGAACTGAATGCTGATTAACTGTGTGGAAACCAACTTATTTTGAGCCTGTTGTGCAATGCTGGTTTTGGAAGCTGAGCGATTGCACCATTGATGGAGTTTTATAATGTCAAAATCTTGAAAAAGACTTGATATCATTGTTATATTAACTTTCGGTGGTGGCACATATTGGGCTGTAAACATCCTCATTAAGTTCTCTCTCATACACCACTAATTCATCTCAATCGGCTTAAGAACTGAATGCTGATTAACTGTGTGGAAACCAACTTATTTTGAGCCTGTTGTGCAATGCTGGTTTTGGAAGCTGAGCGATTGCACCATTGATGGAGTTTTATAATGTGGTTTAACTGATCATAAACTCTTTTAATAAAGCTGCGTGTCACGGTGTGAGAAGAAACAAATGTATCAGAGATTACATTAGATATGGCGTCTTTGGCTATGGCCAAAACAACATTAGATTGTAGTTTTAGAGTTTTATGTGATGTATGCGGTGGCGTACACTCTGAAGCTAATCAAGCTCGGATCATTAACTTTTCTTGATAGATTTTAATTTACTAGCAATTTGTCACTTAGCTGACATTTTTATCCAGAGGAATGTACAATAAACTTTTTAGAGGAATGGTCGTCCTTGAGCAAGCTGGGGTTCAGCTAAAGTGTACAAAGGTCATTAATTAGTCCTTACACAGAAACTGCAAACGTTTGATTACTGGCCTAGATAGAGACTAAACCAGCAATTACTAGATCAAGATGAAGATTATTAGTGAATAATGACTTAAAGGGAAAGTTCACTCAAAAATGAAAATTACCCCATGATTTACTCACCCTCAAGCATCCTTGGTTTATGACTTTCTTCTTTTAGATGAATACACTCAGAGTTATATTTAAAAAATGTCCTGGCTCTTCCAAACTTTTTTAATGGCAGTGAATGGTGCTCAAGATTTCAAAGCCCAAAAAAGTGCGTCCATCCACTATAAAAAGTGCTCCACACAGTTCTGGGAGGTTTACAAAGGCCTTCTGAAGCAAATCGATGCATTTGTGTAAGAAAAATATTCGTATTTAAAACTTCATAAACTGTAATATCTACAAAATAAGGATGTGTAAAGAAAAATGTCTGAGGATTTCAATATAAACCAAGAGGAGACTGGCTTTCCCTTGCTGTAAACAAAACTGGGTTCTCGTGAGACTAGCATATTCTCACCGGAGCTTACGCTATGGCTACTTCCTATGACATCTGCTGGAACACCACCCTCTCGTGAATGCACATACAGAACGATAGATATTACAGTTTATAAAGTTTTTCATATGGATATTTTTCGCTTCACTTCAGAGGGCCTTTATTAACCCCTGGAGCCATGTGGAGTACTTTTTATGATGGATGGATGCACTTTTTTGGGCTTCAAAATCTCGACCACCATTTACTGCCATTATAAGGAGACATTTTTTAATATAACTCTGATTGCATTTGTCTGAATGAAGAAAGTCATATACATCTAGGATGGCTTGAGGATGAGTAAATCATGAGGTAATTTTCATTTTTGGGTGAACTATCCCTTTAAATTAATCAAATAAATTGGCATTAACAGTGAACGGTGACTCAAATGACTCAAATTGTCATCTGTGGGTTTTATTTAGTTGTTTTGGACCATAACAGCCATAGAAACTATGAACTGTCATTTTGATCTTCCTCAAAATATTAAACATTTTGTTCAATGGAAGGAAAAGTCATAGGTTGGAATGACATGAGGGTAAGTCATCATCGGGTAAACTATCATTTTAATATTTCTTATTTCTAAAATGCCTCCAAAAGACCTGAAGTGGTGAGTGGAGAGAATGTGTGCAATGACGTACCAGTGGCATTAGATGGACACTTGTTGTATACCGTCTCTCCAGCTGAGGCTCTCTTCCACGTCATGGTTAATTGGTACTCATCTTTACATATTTCATGAGGTGCTGCACACAGTATGAACCAAAAGTAAGAGATTAACCACTATGAAAAGACTAGGATACATGTACAAACTAGTATTAAATATAAAGCCTATTGATGATTGACTGATTGCTCTCACATAGATAGATAGATAGATAGATAGATAGATAGATAGATA